AGTCGGGTATGATGGGAAAACTCTCTGCTGGTTGGAGTCATTCCCAATGTAAAGGAGGATGGAACATCACTCAGTTGTGGAACATCGCTGCAGGAGTTCCTCAGGGTAGTGTCTTAGGCCCGACCATCTTTAGCTACTTCATCAATTTCCTTCCCTCTATCATAGGGGACAACGTGGGGATATTCACAGATGATTGTACCAAGATCAGTGCAATTCAGTACTCCCAAGATACTGAAGCAGTTTGTGTCCAAATACAATAAGACCTGGAAGAAGATTTTTTTGGGTTTGGGCTGATATAAGTGGCAAGTAATATTCGTAGGAAATGATCATCCTCAAGAAGAGACAATCTAACCATCTGCCCTTGATATTTAATGCATTTCCATCACTGTATCCTCTATTCTCATTGGGAGTTACCATTGATCAGAAACTGAACTGGACCAGACATAGAAATTCAGAAATCATAAGAGCAAGTAGGAGACTGGGAATTCTGAGATGAGTAATTCATCTTCTGGCTCCTAAAGACTGTCCACTACCCACAATGCACAAGTCCAGAGTGTAAAGGGATACTATCCATATGTCTGGATGAATACAGCTCCAAACAACACACAAGAAATTTGGTATAATCCAGGTCATAACAATCCACTTGATTGGCACTCCATCCACCATGATGTGCTAAGTGGACTGCAGTAAATCCGTAAGATCTATCTTTCTTTATTTCGAGATAATATGTCATTCATTGTTTATATTGACCACAGATTGTCTGTTAATTCCCATTTAATTTTTGTTGATTTGTGTTTGATTATCAAAGCAAAAGTCATAAAAGGTGAAATGATCTCCTAATTTTTTTCTTTGGAGTTGTTCAGTGAATTCGTTCTTTTGGTTTGTTTGTTTCCATGGGGATCATAATTATCGGGACGCAGTATTTATGGGTTCCAGCAAGCTTTTGGCATTCCCAAGGTACTTATGTCTTAACCATGCTTCCATTGGCGCCACTGAGAGAACGCATCGGAATGGCCATGGAATTTTCAGGTCAATAAGTAGTGAAAAAGATCAACAATCTTCCAAAGTCAGGTCATAAGGTCCAGGGACGAATGCATTATCTCTTTCTTCAGAGATAGTAACCATGGGAACAGCCAGACTCATTGTACATTGTCTAAAATGGTACTTGACATAATGATAGATAAGAGTAAAAATAGAAGATCAAATTTTCAATCAGTGTTTACAAGCACTCAGAGAAATTTTCTTCATAAATCTAAAATGTTGACGCAAATTAAAATGCAAATTGATGTTCTTACCAGTTTCATGACAAAATCTTGCAGAAAAATATGGTGAAATCTGTTTTTCACACATTTGAGCTATTGTTGTTGATGGCCACTGTAATAATAAACCATCACTTCTGATAGGCCTCTATTTTTACATAATTTAGAATATGCTGAAATAATCACCTTATAGCAACAGCAATCTACCATACCACGGGTAGAGAGTTGGACAGATACAGAAAGCATTGAGTGGTGGTAATGGGACGATTGTTATGTGGTAGGGTGGGTGTGGTTTGCTGTAGGAATACGTGCTGGGTCCTTTCTCATTTTCGTAAATGGTTTGGACATACAGAGAGAATGATCTCAAGGTTGGACTGATGGTCCCAAATTTGACGATACCCATACATACCAACCAAAAGGAAAGACTTGCATTTATATAGCGCATTTCATAACCACCAGATGAATCAAAACACTTTACATCCAAAAACGTTTGAAATGTAGTTACTGTTATGATACAGGAAACATGTCGGCAAATGTGCATTCAGAAAACTCCCACAAACTTTAATGAGCTAATGATCAGATCATTTGTTTTTCTGATATTGACTAAGGGGTGAGTATTAGTCAGGGTGTTGGGGATAACTTTCCTGCTCTTCTACAAATACTGTCATTGCATCTTTCATGTCTGCTCGACATCGGGTTTAGTGTCTCAACCCAAAGACATCATCTCCAACAGTACGGCGTTCCCTGGAACATCAGCCTAGGTTTTGGTGCTAAGGACCCTGAGTGGAGCTTGAAGTCATAACCTTGTGAGTCAGAGGCAAGAGGTCCGGCTGACACAGTGATTCAACCACATTTCACATAGACACATTTTCCATCCCCTGTTTGTGTTGTTGGGCTTCACCAGTTGGTCTCAGGGTCCTGCGAGTCTCTGTATGAGCTACCATATTATTTTCTCAAACATGTATATGCACAGCAAAGCGAGACCCATTGGCTGGTGGAGTGACCTCACTTCCAGGAGCCTGAAATCATCTGCTGTCAGAGCTTCAAGAGCCAAATGGATAAGAGGATATATTTTATTAAAACTCATTCAGGGGATCTGGATCTGCCCATTGCTGGATGGGACAGCCTTTATTACACTCTCCTAGTTGCCCTTGAGAAGGTGGTAGTGTGCTGCCATCTTCCACCTTTGCATTCCTCTGCTAACGTAAGGAATGAATGATCTATCCAGATTGTTTGATGTTTTTGAGGATTTAGCAGCAGCTCTGAATTTGTTACCGTGGACTATGAAAACATATGGTAAAAGACAGAAACAGAATGTATGCAGGTAGGGGCCAAAAGGCATTGCAATAGGGAATAAATAGATGGGGAGGACAGAGATAGAGGAAATAATGATATGGAAAAAAGGAAGGGAAATGAAGAGATGGAGGCAAGGGGATATCCGTGGCAATGGAAGGGAAGGTAAATAGATGGCAAAAGAAGTAAGGTGCACATTGATTTGATGGAGTGGTAGGAAAGAACTTACATTCATCTGTCACCTTTCACATCCTCAGTATGTCCAAAAACATGAAAAAATACCATTGATGTGTAGTCATTGTTATATAGCGGGAAGATACCACACATAGCAAAATTCCACACACCAAGTGAGATATTTGTTAAAGATAATGTCTGCATCTGGATTTCTGATATCACCATCTGGGATTCTGTTGTTCTAATATGGTTGTGTCTGGGATTGACTGATACAGAATGCAGGAGGCTACATTTTCAGTTTATATGCCCCTTTATTAAACATGATAACTGCTAACTGCTCTCAGGACAAGGCTCTGCATGAGGCTGTTTGACAGACCCAGCTCTCAATCAATGTAGTAGCCATGTGACCTTACATCACTTCCCTTGATAATGTAGGCTACCTTAATGAAATATTAACATTGACCCTTTACACTACATTCCCCTGTCTCTATTCATTACATCTCTCACATTGCCTTATCCTACAGGTCAACTTCAGAAGAATTAAAATTTTAATTAAAGTAATGTCTAATCTTTATTTTTAGATTCACCTGGTTGCCAGTGTTGGTGACTCTTAAACTGTGACTCTGCACCCATTACGTGTTATTTGAGAAGCAAAAATACGAGACAAGGTTATCTGTTGTGTTCCTCAGGCAACATTTTGACATCACCCCCTCACACAGTAGCTAAGTTCCGCAATTGAGCTGTGGCAAGACACAATTCTTGCACTGATACAAAGGCACTGTGACCCTGCCTCCCTTTTGCTTCACATCCAGGCCTCTGAAAGGGCTGTTAGGAAGACACGCACATTCTATTATCCTTAGACACAGAGCGGCTACATGTGAATGGAGTCCTGCCATGCAGTTTACAGGTGAGGTATTGTCTGGCCATTGATCTATGGGAATATGGAATAAACGTTACTGAGCAGGGTGGTCTCTGTAATTTGTTAACCCTGCTCTGTTATCAAGGCCTCCACACCATACCAGGAGCTGCAGTTATCCTCCTGGACGTCTGGGATAGGTGTCACCACTGCACATAATCTTGGAGGTGCTGCACACTCCATAGTGAACTGGGCTGTTGCAAAGCCATTCTTTATGCTGATACAGGTTCAGGTCGTAGAATCTAGGTTCCAATTGTGGACAGTTTGGTGCTGCGCTTAATGTAGATTAGGAACTGGGTTGCCGCTGTTCAAACTCATTTGTTAAAGGGTTGATGGCAGAATATGAAAAAGAGAATGGGGACAGATTTCAAGAACTCATTTATCCCTTTGGCAAATAATGACAGAATTGATACAGCCCCTCATCAGTTAAATGACTAACTATGCTTTATTTTAAGTTCTGAAATTAATAAAGTGATTGCAAAGTTGTTGATACTTAAATAAATTGTTAGTCATGTAACAGAATTGTGTATAAATTTTATTCCATTACCCGTGCTTCATTATTTTAGGGAGTGGTTGGCTGCAAAGTATGATGTAATATAAGTATTGCTGTGAGCTACTCGTAGCATCATGATTTGTAGAACAGCAATTATATTTGTTTATGGTTCCTAGATGCTGCAGTGTAAGAATCAATGTAAAATTTAAAAACCATATCGTGCTGTATTGCAAAACATTATTGAGGTGACATTATTGGGAATTACTCCTAATGTTGCATTAAGAACATGAGGACGATTTATTTACTAATTGCAGGTTCGGAAAATGCCACGGTTCAGTCCACTACTTGTTCTTAAGCACAGAATGCACGGTACTTCTTAAAGATTTTTCACCTTGTATGTGTGACTGCAGCTGGTACCTGGTGGATGCTGCTTCAGATTATCCTGACTGTCTGATACCCAGGTGCTGATCAGGGTGGTGCTTGCTGAGTGGCTGGGGATACAGCACAAGGGGATTGGTTCGTGGCGGGAAGGACTGCATCCTCAGGCTGCTTGTTAATCTCGACTAACTGGCTTAGTGTCAAAGGCTGTTAGAATCAGCTGCCGTTTGTGGATACTGCTCAGGCAAGGCTGGAACTCCTCACCAGTCCTCAGCACTAAAAAGTGATTCATATGAATTGCAGAACAGGGCACCGTTAACGTGGGAATAGCAGGGTGACCGACAGGGACACTATTTGTGTGGATCGGAGCCTGTAGTATCCCAGTATCTCATCGGACTCTGAACACTGAAGCCGACAACTGCAGCAAAAAAAAATCAATTAACTGTGGAAGACAAATCAAAAAAGAAATATCTGCAGCAGTAAAGAAATGGCAGAGCAAGAAATTGAGGACTTTGACGCTGACAGTGTGTCAGACACAGCCTGCATGCTCAATCATGTTCATCCTCCACCGTACAGCATTGATGACCAGCCATGGCCTTTGGAAGCACGCAGCATGTGTGGGTTCTGGGGATGGGCTTTCCTGGTCACTGCTTTTAACTTTCTGTTGTTCCTCCTAAACTTTGTTCTCATGGGCACTGTGTTTTGCATTGTGCTGCTGCCCACTATCGTGGTGGTGTACTTTGGGTTTCAGTGTCACTCCAGGGTAAGTAACCTATGGCTAGAAATACTAATTCTCAAATTGTTTTGTAATGGTTGTGAAATGAATGTGAGTAGCCTCCTGCCCCAACTGAAGATGCAACCCTTTTACTTTCGTCGTTTATGAAGACTGCATGACTCTTTCGATAATTAATTGCGTTTTCTATGATTGTGGGTGAGGTGGTCTTGTTGAACGCTAGAAAATAGAACTGCACCAATTGTAATGAATAGAGAGAGGATTGTGCCCTTTTATGTGGATCTAAGTTTACCTCTTCATCTGAGTGATAGAGGATTGCTATCGATGATAACCTGCTGGTGAGCAAGTAACATTTCTTAAAGCTTGTATGATGTTAATAAAAAAAACTTTTGAATGCAAACAGATGGTGCAGCAACAAAAAAACTGCTCCAGTTCTGTCAGCAGTGCCAGTGAGTGAGTCTTAGCTACTGCTTTGCAGCTGCATGTGGTGCCTCGGGTGTGAATCATACTATAACAATAGAGTCAGAAACTTTAGGCAATGACGCATTGTAGACTATTTTCTGTAGTCATCTTATGATAAAACAGATTTCCACTAAAGGTGTGTTTTCAAGGTAAACGAACTCCAGCTTTAAACTTCCAAACACGGAAGAGATTGCAAAGGTCTACTTTTAAGCAGGATCTCAGAATTACCTGAAAAATACTTCCTTTGAGAAATACTCATGTTTAAATGCAAAAACAAAGAATACATAAGGGCATCTTGATCCATCTTTATAAGTCACAAACCAGGCTATTATTTGATTTAAAAGTAGGCACAGGCAATGTAGAAGTGCAGATTTGGTTCAGATCTGCATCTTTAAGTAAGTCAGTGCAAAAATTCCCAAATTCCCACTTTCAGGGGATCTAGTGACTGCTGGCCACAAACATTTAATTATCAAGGGCTGGAAAATGTGGACAACCCACCTGCTGAGCCATGTTTTCTTTGTTCTTTCATGGGATGTGGGCCTCGCTGGCTAGGCCAGCATTTATTACCCAGTCCTAACTGCCGTAGAGAAGGTGGTGATGGAGCTATCTTGAACTGTTGCAGTCCAAACGATGTAGATACATCCACAGTGCTATTGAAGTTCCAGAATTTTGATCTGTGCTCTCATGTATATCTCAGGATGGGATGTAGGTGGAGATCTGGGAAAAAGTTGCTTCCCTGTCTGCATTTCCAGATGTTGATGTATGAGAACTTAAACCAGAGAAATAAACTGAAATTACCAGCAACTTTCAAACTGCTTCATCGTCAAGGAACTTAAAAATCTGTCAAGTCACACAATGAGTCAGTATTTTCCATGAACAGGTCTGTTGGAAAATATTCTTTTTTTATTAAAATAATCCCCTCTCTGTCTCTGAGAATTCAATAAAGCTTATAGTTTTAAGGTAATTTCCCAGTTCATTTGAAGATGAGAGAAAATAAGCTTCATATGAAAACCTGCAGTGAAATTGAATGAAGTAGTTGTATGTTGCTAAACCTGAACTAATCTCAACACAAATTCATGAGGGAATGAATGGTACATGGTGTGAAACTAAGATTAGACTGTACCTTAGCAACGCAGTGAGCCATTCAGACGGCTAGGCTTTTGTTTTGCTTCTCTGATTGTTACAGCTTACACCTGATGTCGTGAAATTGACATGACTATGGCATTTGGTGGAGATGGACACAGTATCTATTGGTCTGAAGAAGGGTCTCTGGACCTGAAACATTAACTCTATTTTCTCTCCACAGAGGCTGCCAAACCTGCTGAGTTTTCCCAGCAATTTCTGCTTTTGTTACAGTATTTATTGTGTTGCCATGTTGTGGGAGGCAGAGACAGGTCCAGCTAAAGTCTTGCTGTTCAAACTTTTAGTTACATCCCAGGGTTCTCTCTGTAAATGTCTTATGGTACCCACTTATGACACTTGTAGGTCAAGTCTTAAATCAAGGCAGGAGGTTGATGGGGAATAGAAGGAAGAAAAGCCCCACACTTCTGGGCAAAACCTGCTACAGAAGCCAACAAAGAATGGAGATTTGGTAGAAATGGGTTCTTCAGCAAATTGCTTTCCCTTGCCCAGATAATGCAAAGGTCTTTATTCAGATTATTCTAGAGTGCAGCAGAATACATATTAAATATTAGTCTATGTAAACTTAAGAAAAAGGCAATTGAGGACCTTAATATAACAACTTTCATGACCTCATGAGGTTCTAATGTGCTTGTCAACCAAATGAGTAGGTGTAGAAGTGTAATCACTGTTGCAATGTAGAGAAATGGGGCAGTCAGTTTAGGCACAGCAAGATCCCACAAACCACAATCAACCAGGTGATTTGCATCTGAGGAACTTATTCATGAGATAAATCATGGGTAAGACCTTGGTAGGACTTGCCTGCTCTTGGTTGAATGGTACTATAGTATCTTGCACTTCTACATTGGTTTAGGGTCTTTTCTGAAAGTGTAGCACTCCTTCAATACTGCACTGCAGTGCCAGCTTAAACTGTTTACATTTCTTTCAATACGTACTGTCCTCAATCCAAACAATTCAATATTTAAGTACATCAACCATTTCCATTAGACTGTAAAGATTGACCTGAGGTCCCATTTTAAGGAGCTGGAATACTGAGTGGAAACAGTTGGCAGCTCCTCTCCATGTTTTCAGTTCTTGTCACAAGTCTGTCTCCAGTATTATGCACATAGACCTGTACTTTCAGCTCCCAGGGTCTCTTTCACTTTGGACTGCTGTCAATGTATTGTGAATCACCCTCTGTGACTATAACACTCCTGTAAATGCCAAGGGGGTTTTTAAAGCTGCAATGACTGATCGGAGATTAGCATTAATCTGTAAAGTGTTGGGATGCAGTTAGATTTTGCAAACACTAATATTTCTAACATGCTTTAATCAAAGCGCAAGTTGAGAATCCTCCTATTTTCTTTAACAGCAATATATGTTCTTTGATGGTTCAGACGTTTAAACTAAGTTAAGTAACAACAAACAGTATGTTGTTGGCTGCAATTCTGTTCCACCACCATAACACGGGAGTCCTCCACTGGGAATGCAATTCCTGTCTGAATTTTACACAGTCTAACAAGTTAATTAACCTGTGCTGGAAATATGGAAACCCTATGGTGCAACTAGTTTGGCAGAGGCCTTGAGCATAAAAAAGAAAGGACCCTTTTCCAGGAAATCGTTGCTATCATGAAAGCAACTTTTCAGAAGTTGGTGGGTCCTTGCTTCCACCTTTGTGAGGATACTGAGAAGCTGCTTTGTGAAGGCACGTCAGGAGGCACAAGAGGTGGGATAGCCAGGGCATCCCATAGGCGACAACATCTTCCACATTCTTTTCAATTGTCAGAACCTGCTGCCTTCTGAGAAACCTCAGCCCTGCAAAAATCTGTGCAGAAACCCAGACTAACCATTGCAATGCTTATTGCTGCAAGCTCCATCACCCCAAAGACATTCCAGTGTGCCCTGGTCACTGGGTAAACCCTGGGCCAATATATTTAAGGTAAGCTACTTCCCATATGTTATTTGCAAAATATGTAGAATTACTTTTTCTTGGTCCTTAATGTTGATCAAGAGAAATCTTATTTAACTGAGCTATTTAATTCTTGGGAAAGTCATGACCACCATGGATCCAGTGTCATGACTTGATTAGAAAGCTGAGGTAAAAGGGTTTGAAACATAGAGTCTCTTATATTCAGACATTAACCTTACTCTGTCATGTAAGAAAGCGGATCACGAAATCTACACCACCTATTAAAAGTCTGTACTACTACCTCCTGATCATCCAAGATCAGACAAAACTCTGGAATATACATCGATCTTTGTAATTTACACCATTCAGTCATGGCTGTCTGGCCTGTACACATATTCAATTTTTTTGCATGATTCTGCTCCACATATACAGAATTTATGTCTTTATATGACATGGAGAATTTATTGATGACATCTGTTAATTCTTAATATGGCATCCAATGTAATCCTATTGGAGTCATAAGACCTTAAATAATCTTTCTCCTTGGCTCCACCACACTGTCTTGCACCATTTACCTACCTGCTATCGTCTCATCCCAAACTGCCATTTCTGTGATTCTTGTTCATTATTTTTCACTTCTTTGTGCTTTATTTGCTTCTGGTTCTGCCACTGAGCTTATTTTCTCACTAAATTTCTCTTGGCACCCTTTCTGCAGCCTTCTAACTTTACAAACTGCAAATGTAATATTTTGAAATCTTTAAGTGACCATTCTTACAGCTGTTCTCTGCACTGCTGGATTACAGCCCAGCCCTTACAGTCTGTACCATAATATAAATGAGGCAGTTATTTCCTTCCAGAGGCAAGAAATACCACCTCATTAAAAAGTAATAAATACAAATAGCTTCGGCTGAAGCTGCTTGCCCTAGGGTTTGCTATTTTCTGCTGCTTGTATATAAGGTGAGAACTAGAGATTGATCAAAAAGGCTAATGGAATTCTGAGCTTTATGTCTAGAGGAGTGGAACACATGGGGGTAAAAGTCATGTCTCAAATGCTGCTTCCACAACACAAGGCATTTGTAGTTCATGGCACCCTGAACATCTTGAGAAGGAAATATTGGCATTGGAGATTTACCAGAATGAAAACTAGGCTGTGAGGGATGAATTGCAAGAAATGTTACATAGAGTCATAGAGGAGTACAGCACAGAAACAGACCCTTCAGTCCAACTCATCCATGCTAATCAGATATCCTAAACTAATTTAGTCCCATTGCCAGCATTTGCCCCTTATCCCTCTAAACCCTTCCTACTCATGTACTCATCCGGGTGCCTTTTAAATGTTGTAATTGTACCAGCCTCCACCACTTCCTCTGGCTATTCATTCCATACACACAAATCCTCTGCATGAAAAAGTTGCCCCTTAGGTCCTTTTTAAATCTTTTCCCTCTCACTTTAAATCTAATGCCCTCTCTAAACTTCTATAAGGTCACCCCACAGCCTCCGATGCTCCAGGGAAAATAGCCCCAGCCTATTCAGCCTGTCC